TCCCCAATGTATAATTCATCTCTCTTCAGCCTTCTAATTGCCTTGTCTCTTCCCTCACTTCGAAAAATGCTAAGTGTCTCAAGAAACCAAGAGCTGTACCGCCTACATTCCATCACTAGAATCCACCTTGCTTCTGAGTGACGAAGGCAGGACAGTGAAGATGCTGCTTGCCTTTGAAACTCTCCAGCCAGCACCCATTAGCAATTAGAGAACATTTACTGCAAGTTCTTTTTATGTTAGTTGCTGTTGCTTCTAACCTGCAATTTTTGCATGAGGACACTTTATACCCCATTCAAAGCCCATGAGCACAATGGGAAAGGGAGAACAAAAAAGAGAAAAATGACATCAGAACAATTCACATAATGCTCTAATTTTTTTGCATATTTAAAAAAAATTTACAGCTGTCCATTGCAGATTTTCTTTACAAAACATTTGTGATGGTTCAAAAGGTATTCCTCAAACACCTTCTATACTGGTTTTTTTTAATCAGGGGGGATTTAATGAGAGGTGAGGAAACTTGACTGATATAGCTTTAAAACAATTATATAAATAATGTGCCACAAAGTATCAGTTATATAACTAGAAGAAAGATGTCAAATGTTGGAAACAAATATACTAGTCCTATTTTCAACAAGTTGTTTCATATTAACTGTGATCTTTCCAGAACATCTTTAAAATTAAGATGAACAAGCCGGGCACCGGTGGCTCACGCCTATAATCCTAGCTACTCAGGAAGTTCAGATCTGAGAATCGTTCAAAACCGGCCCAGGCAGAAAAGTCCCTGTGAGACTCCTATCTCAATTAACCACTCAAAATCCAGAAGTTGTGCTGTGGCTCAAGTGGTGAACACGAAGAGGCGCAGGGATGGTACCCAGGCCCTGAGTTCAAGCCCCACAACAGCCAAAGAATGAGTTGAACAAAGGACATTTTAAAGAGAAGCCAGAAACCTTGACTTAAGAAAGGAGAATTTTGTTACCCTGTCTTTCTCCTTGAGCCATGCTTTAGACCCAGTGTCTTTTCAGTTTCATTCCTTAAAGCTGGTTCTGTAGTGAACATGTGTGTGTATGTGTTGTCTGTGTATGTAATTTTGCTTTTACAATGTTGGCAGTCAGGAGGAGCCTTCTAATTTTATTCAGCATGATGATAGGCCCTAGCGTTTTAATTATTTTTCATGTTGTGAGTAATTTATTATTCATTGGGTATCTTACCCGTAAATCTGGTCCTCACTCTGTAAGATTTTTCTTTGGTGTCCAACAAAGGGTTTCAGTGCAATAAGAATCAAGGTGTGTCTTCGTTCTTACCCAGAGCCCAAACAATGCTAGCCTTCCAGACCGGCCCAGCAGTTTGGGGTGGGGAAACCGAGTCATTATAGAGTATCTTCATCCCTCTGCTCAGAGAGCCCCAGAATTATCACCCATGCCTTCCTAAAAGGGCGTCTTGAAACACATCCTCCCGCAGAGCCTAATTCAGGACTCAGAAGACCTGGACTAAAATTGAATCTCATCAGGATTTGTGCACAAGAAAAGTCCAGAGGAATGGATTGGCTACTTTTCAGGAACATTTGTCTTTTGATCATCCTAATGGTAAGTTGAATTTTAAGCCTGGGAAGAAATGCAGCCTGGAAGTCTTGTCTCTTCTGCTCACTGCCTGGTTTTCTACATGGAATTTATTCTAGCTTTAAACTCCTTTTTGCAAAGGGAGAACTGGGAACTCAGCCTCTGCTGATTTCAAAGCAAACCCTATTTCTCAAGGAGCCAAGGAGTATAGAAATGCTGTGGAATTCTGTTGCATTCGATTCAAATGGCCCCAGAGACACAATTTAATTCAGATTAAATGGTAGGACAATTCTAAAATGCTAATTGGAAATAAAACTTTTTTCTATTATTTTTTATTTACACTTAAACCAGACATATTGGTATAAAAATTTCTCAGGGCAAATGGTAAGCAATTTTACAGGAAATTGATCAAGCTCTTTTCTTCTGAACAGTTATTTCCCAAGGAGTTTCTTTCAAAGAGGGCTGTCAGCTGTATCAAAATTATGTTGCAACTAATTATGAAACATTTAAATTGTATTATGAGAGCATCCCTACAGGCCAGAAGGAAAGCTTTTAAGTGATGTATTTCTCTAAAGTAAACATAGTACTTTGGCTATTATATTGCTTTCCTTCAACCTGGGAGCAGTCAGAGAATAAAGTGCCTGCGAAGTGGCATCATGTACCCTAAATTGGGTTGTAACTCAGTTTCCCAGGAACACCCACAGAAGTACAATGGCTTAAGTTTGGGAAATGATTCCTAGATTATTCTTAAGCAAGTTGCATCCTCTCAGTCCATCAGGGCATCAGTTCTAAAAGACAAGATAGCCAGAGCTGGGAACCCATGGTTAGCTAGTGATACAGTGAGTTCAATTTTTCTGGCACTTATATTTCTAAGAACTTCAAATAGGTGCAGATACCTAATTGTGCCAATGGGCATATGGCTCAAATTTGGAAGGGAATGTGAGGGCAGTGGTGAAAGTTTCCATCCTCTGAGTTTGAAAGACGGATTTTTAAATAAGACAATTGGTGAAAATCATTTCTTAATGAGGAAATACCAAATAAAAGTACAATGTCAAGTTACAACAACCATCGTTAATTTATCAAGTGAGAAAGTTACTAAACAGTTAAAAACCTGTCTGGGTCATTAACAGAAAGGGTAAAGTGTAGGTGTATTCCTATTGACACACTTCTCCATGCACTGACTCAGAGAGGACTAGTTTGTTGTACGGAAAACATCATATGTCAAAATGTTAGAAGCAACTTCTGTGCATTAAATTCTTTCTGCTCAGGCATGTTTTATGATAAAATTCTTTAATTGCAGAGCTAATTTCTTCTTCTCCTTGATCTTGAAAGACTAGTATATTCTATATATTCTGTGTTCCCATGGTCCCTTCTGGTAGTATTAATTTATTTTCTTTAATAATCTTGGTGGGATTTGGTACTGAATGATTCCCCCATTTCTTACTGATACTGAAATATTTGTGCTTGACATTTCCCAACCATTATGAAAAGTATTAAGTTCCTATGAATTTCCTTAGGATATGAAGTCATAATACCTAGATCTGGAAAGCAAAGATCTCATTTCAAAACTGAGACAAATGCAACAAATGTTTAAGGTGAATAAGTTTGCTATTGTAGATGTTAAAAGGAAATAAGCATTTCCACTTGTCTTTAATTTTCTGTTCTTGAACTCAGCCTCTTTTTTCATTAACTAAATCAAAGACTCTCTGGGGCATCATTGCCTGTTCCACTAATGAGGGAGTGGCTACTTCTCAGAGACTTATGGGTATTGTGTGTCAGCTACTTCTCAACCACAAGGAGTACTTTAAACAAAGTTTTGACTGACTTCACCAATAAAAGGCATCCAAAGCTCTAGGTTTCACTGGGGTGTCTCATTTGATCACAAGAGTCCTTTGGCATTTTCTTCCTAAGGATAGTCATCATGTTCTTGTACTATAAACTGGATAGGGAGGTGTGGCAACAATCACCACTGAACTGAGACTCAAATGTCCCAGGATTGAGTCAGAGCTCCTCTTCAAAGTGGCTGTGTGACTTTGGCAATAGTCTTCAACTCCTCAGGCCTTCATTGTACCCCATGGAGAATGTGAGTTAGACATGATGTCATCAAGTTCCTTCCACTATGGAAACTCTGTGATTCTCTAATTATTACTATCGTATACTTATGCAGAAAAAACTAATGACTGGCTCCAGAATATTATTTTGAAAAATTTGCCTGAGGGAGAAAAAAATATCTGAAAATTTAGGTAAAGCTGGAAATTGTATAAATTTTATTAGGTAAGAATTACTGGAGGCTTAACAGTTATTAGTTGAAGAAAGCCTATATTTTATCAAGTTAATAAGACCAAAAAAATTGTCATTGATCAGGTGGGAATTCTGGTCTACACAGGGTAACCATTCAGACTGTGTACAAGTGGTAAACATTGGATGTCCTGATTCTTGGAAAGTAGAAAGCTTAGGGGGGTAAAGTTCATAGACACTATCTCATTAGAAGTTGAGACAGGTATCCAAATTTATAAACATATTTAAAACTAAGTTAGCCTATTAGGTCTCGCATAAAACAATGTCATTCTACCTGTGGAAGAGAAATTGGTTTTTATTTATTTTTTGGGGGGGGGTCCTGTCATGGGACCTGAACTCTGGGCCTGGGTGCTGTCCCTCAGCTCTTCAGCTCAAGGCTAGCACTCTACCATTTGAGCCACAGCCCCACTTCTGGCTTTTTTCTTTTTGCTTATGTGGTGCTGAGGAATCGAACCCAGGGCCTCATGCATGCAAGGCAAGTGCTCTACCACTAAGCCACCTTCCCAGCCTGGTTTTTATTTATTTTTGATAGGAAAATTTCCAGAAATAAAATGGTGGGAGCAAAAATGATATTATCTGATTTGGATTTTGTTTGGGTTAAATGTCATACCCTAGATAACACTAAATGACTTGTTTCAGTACTGCTTATTATGGAAACTCCCACTGTCCTTGCCACACTAAAGGTTCTATTCAGGCACATCTCACTTCTATTGTTTTGTCAATATAAGTAGCTAAGGAGTGAAAAACTATGCATTTTTATTTCAAATTCCTTCAGAGTTCATGATAATAAAGTTACCTACAAATCAGTTATATATCACACTAATAATTAATATAATTTCCAGAATAGAGCCTAAGTATTTGACATGGTTTTTTATCAATTAAATCAATCTGATGGGTTGCCATATAAAAATCCTGCCTTAGAAATATTTTACAGCTCTTAAGATGCTGAATACTTCTCCTATTTTAGAGATACTTGTACTATTTTAGAAACATTGTGGACCTTCAATACCTAGTCTGATGACTCCTTCCAGTGCTCTGTATGGGGGAAGAGGGAGGCTTCTTCACAGAGCCATGAGAACATTGATTGAACTCTGATGATGTTACCATCCATTTCCCAAGTGGGATCCATATTGGAAATCCGCATTCATGGAGGCCAGGCCTGATGACAGGGTGTGTGACAGAAGTGACTAACGCACAGCCCTTAGATAATGTTGGCATGAGAAATGTTTGCCCTTCCTTTCTATGCAGAAAATTACATGGCTTACAAACCAAAATGCCATTACTTGATGTACCTTCAATTATAAACAAAAGTGGTATAATTAGGCTTGAACCTGGCATCTTTACTGTATCCCCAAGAGGATGGCAACCAATTTATTCAATAATTTATAAGCATTATTCAGAAGAGAACTGCTTATTAACAAGGTGGTCCTAGGTCCTTCAAAACTGACTTCCAAAAAAGGTAAGTCACAGAGATGAAAAGTAGCCTTACGCAGGGGCAATACTTTAAATACTCTCAGCATGTAAGAGAATAATATGTATTCTCACATTGCAAGAGCCCCAGTAATGACTCAGATTCCATGTATCTTAGATAAAATCATCAGATTCTCTGCAACCAAGTGTTAAAAGAGAAAACAAGCCTCCGAAAAAGTTTGCAATTTTCTAAAAGTTAATGGTGATATAGATAACATTCTATTATTTTCCTTGGACTTGCACCCACCACCACCATTCAGAACTTACTTTGCATGTAGAAAACTTGACCTGTCACCTATTTTGTGAATGAAACCGCTTTCATGAATGGGTTCAGTTTCTAACTTCTGTTTCTTACCAAGTAGCTTCACTGTACTTCCCATATCTGTGGGAGATTCAAGTTTCATTAGGTTTTTGGGTTTCAAATTAAGCTCGAGTGTTTTAACTGAGACAAAGACTCATTGATTTTTCTGGGATAAGGTCTATATTAATATTGCTATCCTACACCTGACAGTTACAAAAACTTCTACATTATGGAAGTTACTTCAACATGTTATAAAAAATCCTCAAAAGTGAATACAGCATCACCATTTCACAAAACAAGACAAAAACTCATCCAACTGTACCATAATATATTCCCTTCACCCTTCAGGTTTGCACTTGACATACAACATGCTTTTTTCCACTAAGCCTAATGCATTTTACTTGCTTCTTTTTCCTCTTTCAATATATAGCCTATCCTAGTCAGAAGCTACAGTTTACTCTTCAGCACATTTTCATAAATTAGCATGGATGCAAGTATTCATTTTCTTTTCTTTTTATTGTGAAAATACCATACAGAGGGGTTACAATTACACGAGCAAGGTAATGAGTACATTTCTTATCAAGCATCGTTGCCTCCTCCTTTGTTTCCCCTTCCCATCCCATCCCATCCCATCCCATCCCATCCCCCCGCCACGCCCACACCCCCTCTCTCCCCCACCAAAGTTGTAAAGTTCATTTTTCGACATGAAGTCTTGTACATCTCATTGTTGCAATGGGTCCACCTGTATTCCTATTTAAACAATTTGTTTTTTCCTTCCCTTCCTCAAAGTATACTAATATCAAATACAGTGAAAACAGGGGTTATACTGTGGGAGATGGACATACAAAGCAACAAAGAAATCATCTTATAAATATGTTAGAAACAATAACAAGAAAGAAAAACCATTTGAATCCTTATCTTGAGGTTCATTTCTCCTAGCATCAACTTATCTGACCGTTTCTGCTTGTCTCAGACATATACTACTTATTGCCAATAAGGGAAACCATGGGACCTATGTTTCTTTGGGCCTGGCTTACTTCACTTAATATAATTTTCTCCAAGTCTTTCCATTTCCTAACAAATGGGGCAGTGTCGTTCTTTCTGATGGAGGCATAGAATTCCATTGTGTATATATACCACATTTTCTTGATCCATTCATCTACTGAGGGGCATCTGGGTTGGTTCCATATCTTAGCTATCAGCAATCACACTTTTGGGCATTTACTCACATGATCACAAACAAGTCCATACTAAAGCTACCAACACAACTATTCATTTTCTTAGGCACTTTCACATTGCTTAAAATTAATGCAATTTATTATAAGGGCACTTTAAGAAAAGAGAAAACAAAAGCTCTCTCACCAAGGCCCACAGAAACTGGAATACATTTATGGAAGCACACATTTTTCCAGGTTATTTTGCCCCCCCCAGCAGTATGTACCTCCATCTCCTTTTTCTAGTATGCTACCATTGTGGCAGCTGGTTCAATCTGCTCCATTTGGCGTGGGTGTCTTTTAGCCATGGCCATATGCCAACCCACGTGAGAGGATAAGGTCTGGCCCACATGTATTCTGAAAAGGTGACTTTTACAGGCAAGGAATTGCTCTTCACAGTGTGATTTATGTAGCTAATGCCATTTGGTAAAGTTTGGGAAGATGTTATCATTTCATGTTTCTTCCAAAACACCCATTCACAGGTGCTCCCAGGAAAGTGAGCTGGCCCTGATTCCAGAAGGGCCCAGGGTAATCAGCTGAGTTCTTTCAGGGAACAGCATGTAAAGTGACCAGACTTGGACAACTTGGTACTCATCAATAAAGCCAGTTTTGGGGGACAAAGACTAGCAGAAGTATATCACAAAGTCTCTATCAGGCACAACATAAATCCTGCTAATTGAAAACCATATCCTAGGACCTAGTATTGCAACTGCCTTTGTCTAAGGGGAAAAAATAGAAAGAGCAAAGGTCTGTGAGGGAGGTTGTAGTCAAGGATTCTTAGGGTTAGAATGGACTGTTGAGTTAGGCTGAGCTTTGTAGAGAGGACAAGGGCAATGTAAGACAAACTGAAAACACCTTCCTTACCTCTTTGAGTTAAAGACAAATCTCATGTATATGGCTATTTTTAATTTAAATTAAATTTAAAAATTATTTAATTAGTACTTTTAGATGTCAGGTGCTAAGAGCTCATCCTCTAAGACAGAAGTAAATTTTGTCCATTCTTACTTCCTCTTTACAGATGTATCAAACACTTGCCGGGTCAATGGCATTGACATTGTAACTCTATTCCTAGGAGATACTGAAACTTGGGGGAGGGGGAGGAAAGGGTTGGAAAAAGGGGAAGGGGTGGTCCAAAGTCATTCTGTTGGTATAGGACAAAACCAAGTCTCATTTTCAGTTCTATTTACAAGTCCAAGGAACTTGTTTCTAAAGCACATAACTGTTTATGAAGCCCAACATAAAATAAAGCTAAACATCCACTGTGGAATGCAATTCATTCAATTTTAAATGTGCAAACATGATACCAACTTAATTTCTATCACTCTAAGTCTTTAATTGGGATACAAGTTTTCTTGAAATGCACACGAGCACTTCAAAGGCTAAGGATCCCTGTTTAAAGCCAGCCCAGGCAGGAAAGTTTATAAGATTCTTATCTCCAATTAACCAACCAAAACCCAGAAATGGAACTGTGGCTCAGGTGATAGAGTGCTATCCTTGAACAAAAGAGCTCAGAGACAGCACTCAGGCCCTGAGTTCAAGCCCCAGGAATGGCACATACACACAAAAAGTAAAGAAATACACATAGTTTTAAAGAATTTTTTTACATACACAGATATACATATGTTCATGTGATTATTTACATGTGTATATAGTACACATGTATCTATGTATATTACTAAGTAATCTACATATACACATATGAATACATTTTCCTTCAATCTGTCAGCATGCCTCTGCATCTTATGTATCAACCTACTTATCTCCTCTCCAAATTTCCCTTTAGAAAACAAAAAAGTAGTTTTTATTGTTAAGGTTGTAGAGTTAAACTTTTATTCATGTAAAACTTGAGGCTTTTGTATTTTTCTTTGTTCATAAACTTTGTAGATTACAATGATAATACTTATCATTGTGAAGGTCAAAATGTGTTTGTGACTTTAGCTAAATATAATTACACCACTAGCTAAATATAACTACTGTGAAATTTATGTAATTAGTTACTATCAATGAAGAAATCTTTGGGGGAAAAACCCTCACATCTCTCATCCACAGAAATTATTACTGTTTCACTACAAAGGAGAAAAGTTATTAAACTAAACGATAACTCCATATCTGAAGTCTGTATTGGGCCAAATATGGACTCCAAAGCTTTCTTCTAGCAAATCCTGTGGTTTTCAATGCTTTTTTTGCGACAAAACCAAAATAGGATGCAAAAGAGTTTTTAGTGAATCGATTATTTAGCATTCATTTTTAAATATAGATTGCTTTGTAGACTTAGGTTATACAATTTAGAATAACTTTAAAGAATTTAATGATGACTAAAAAAAGTCTCTCCAATATCAGCCTATCAATATGAACAAGTTCTCTCTGTATCACATTTAAATTGAAAGATGAAACAAAAGTAAAATTGATGCTAAAACTTGTTTAATTCTACTAATAAGTGATATTTATTCATAAATTAATTTTTTATTAATAAGTTTTTTCAGTGTGAAAATACCTTACAGAGGGGTTACAATCACATGAGCAAGGTAATGAGTACATTTCTTATCAAGCATTGTTGGCTCCTCCTTTGTTTCCCTTCCCATCCCTGCACTCCATCCCCTCCCCCATCCAACGTTGTAAACTTCTTTTTTTCGACATTATGTCACTATACATTCCTGATCAAATTTTACTCTCTATGCTTAATTATTTTTACATGGAATTCCCATATTTTCATGTTGCTTACTCCATTACAGTTGTAGAGCTAATTAAATCCATTGGTTAACCAGTGGAATCAAGATACAGGCATCCAAAAAGAAAGATAAGCAAAATAAATCTTAACTCCTGGAAAACTTGGTCATCTATTTTTTCTAATGGATGACAATAGGCATCAAGTGACAATGTCAGTTAAAGCCATTACCTACATTCAAAAGTGATATCATGGTTTTACTTTAAAGTAGCAACATTTATAATATATTTCAATAACATTCCTTGCAAACCTTTGATTTTATGATCAAAAGTGTTAGCTGTCAATCACTAGAGAAAGATTTGAGAGAGCATACATTTTAGCTCTCAAAACTTTCTCAGGTTTTACAACTGGACAGAATGATGAGCATCAGTCATCTCAGCTACTCAGAAGGTGTAAATAAGAGGACTGTGATCTAGGATGCCCAGGCATAACTGTGAGAGCCTATTGAGGCAAAAAGGGGTTGGAGCCTGGCTCAAGTGATAGAGAGCCTGCCTGGCAAGTGGAAGGTCCTGAGTTTAAAGAACAGTAATTCCTTTACATACGTACTTTATCTATGTCATAACTTTTAGATGTATGCATTGTATAACCTACACTACATATACATATACACATAAGTTTTCATGAGCACACGTTTTTGAAGACCTCCACAAGATAGTATTAGAAATAACACAAGAATCAATATTTCTCAGGGTCATGGGCACACTTACACAACCCCAAATTTCAAACAAAATCATAATAATTAGGCAAAATACTAACAGCAACAGGCGATTTAAAAAAACACTTTGGATGTTGAATGAATTAAAGAGCTAGTAGAACCGTAGCTTTTGGCCATTCTCGGCTCTGTTTTAATACTGCCTGTGACCCTTCCAGGCTTGTTTGTAGGCAAGCCTTCGCGGGGGCGAGGCGGGTGGGGGGGGGGAGGGGGTTGGTGAGAGTGTCTTCCACTACAGAGGGAAAACTATCTGTCACTCTCCACACAAATGATGAGCAGAACCCAGCTAAGACTCACTCTCACTACTTTCAAGGTAAAAGGAGGCTATTAGGATGATTATAGCTGTGAGGTTCTGCAGCTCTGCTTCCAGTGGGTGGAGGAAGCAACTGAATGACAGACACTGAGGTCCTGAGACAAATGTCAGGAAAAAAGGAACAAGGGAGAAAAAAATATCACAGAGAGGAGAGAGAGGGGAAATGGAGAAGGAGGTGAAAAGAGATACCATGTGAAGCTGCAGGTGGGGACAGGGAGGTTCTAGTTGCTAATAATAGTCTCCCATGCTAAGCTCACCAACCTGGCAATCCAAGGCAGGCCTTCCGTCTACCCTCCCCCTGGAATGCATGTTGGTGTGTAGTCTACAGCACTAACTACAAAATGTGTCAGTTCTGATATCTGAATGCCCCAGGGCCAGAAATCTAAAAACAAAATAAATACCAGCTACTAGCCCAGCACCAGTGGCTCACACCTAGCTCACACTAGTCACTCAGGAGGACGAGATTTGAGGATCACAGTTTGAAGCCAACCTCAAGCAAGAAAGTCTGTGAGACATTTACCTCCAATTAATCATCAAAAGAGGAGTTGTGGCTCAAGTGGTAGAGGGCTGGCAATAAGAAAAAAGCTCAGCAACAGTGCCTAAGCCCTGAGTTTAAGCCCAGGACTTTCTCGCTCTCTCGCTCTCTCTCTCTTTCTCTCTCTCTCTCCCTCTCTCTGTCTTCTTCCCCTCCCCCTCTTCCCTCTCTTCTCTCTCCCTCTCTCTCTCTCACACACACACAAACACACACACACAAATATATAAAATGCACTCACTAAAATATATGTCTGGGTAAATTCATGGACATGGAAATTCACCACAGTAATCACTGAGTTCAAGAGACAATTTATAAAATTATGTTTAGTTTTTTTTTTTTTACAGAATTAAAGAACATTTTAATGTCTTCAATGTTTAGTTTCTTTTGGTCAAAAAATACAAATTACATGAGAACATATTTGTAAAAGAAATGTCTGAAAAAAAGATCAAATCTCTAATATCAATATTTTTAATTGAGATTCTGTCTGAATTCTTCCTTATACCTTTCAGAATAATCTTCATTTATAACAACAAAAACCTAACTCCATATGTCATATTTATTATAAAACAGCATATTATATAAAATTGAAAAAAATGTCTTTGATTAAATGAGGTATTTGATCTTTACATCTAATAAAATTACACATAGAAGAAGAGGAGGAGATTCAGTGTTGCACTGTCAAATTCCTAATCTCTCTTGTTGCTCACCTCCCAAGAGAAGTTCTGGTATAACTTCTGACACCTCCCTCTCAGCTATTTCACAAGTCTATGGAAGAGGAATGTGCGAATTTTCCCTCCAATTACATCTCAAAACTTCCTGTTCTCATTCTGTGTTCATACTTTAAATTTTTATTATATATAATTTAGATATTTATAATATGATATAATAATAAATATACTATAGTTAACATTTTTATAATATATTTACATATGATATATGTGTTTATAGTTTATATACATCACCTACCTAACATATATACACAGTATACCACTATTATCAATGAATATTTGGTAAGAGACTACCACTGAAGTAAACCATTGTGTGACCTACTGGGTATGTTTCTCTGCTATTAACTTTTTGAAAATGTAACTCCCCCAAAGGCAAATTGTGCCTCTTAAAGCAATATAAACATTAATATGTTGAACTAAGTAAGCACAAATTTTACATGTATTTAAAGGCAACATGTCATTAGTGGAATTTGGTTGGCATTCAAAAGTGATGTAATGGTTTTACTTTAAAATAGCAATATCTATAATATATTTTCAATAATATCCTTTGCAAACTTTTGATTTTATGATCAAAAACATTAACTGTCAGTCACTATAGAAAGATTTGAGAAAGCACGCCTTTTAGTTCTCAAAATTTTTTCAGGTTTTGGAACAGGATAAAATGATGAGTATCTGTTATCTCAGCTACTCAGAAGGTATAAATAAGAGGACTGTGATCTAGGATGCCCAGGCATAAATGTGAGATCCTATTCAAAAAACAACTAAGGCAAAAATGGCTAGAAGCCTGGCTCAGGTGGTAGAGAGCCTGTCTGGCAACTGAAGATCCTCAGTTCAAACCACAGTAATTCCATTACATATATACTTGTATTTATATATGGTATAATTTATATATGTGTGCATTGTATAATATGCTACATACTCATATACACATACGTTTTCATGAGCAAAAGTTTTTGAAGACCTGTGCCAGATCATATTAGTAGTCAACACAAGCATCAATATTTATTCAGGGTCATGGGTATAATTACAGGATCCCAAAATTCAAATGAAATCATAATAATTTGGCAAACTAGTAATAAGAGCAGAGTTTGGCATTATGGAGGGGAAGGGGAAAAACAAGTCGTTTAAATAAGGATACAAGTGGACCTGTTGCAACAATGAGAAGTATAAGTTGTCATGTCGAAAACGAACTTTACAACTTGGGGGGGAGGAGAATTGGGTGGGGGGGGGGGAGGGAGGATGGGAAGGGATGGGAAGGGTAAACAAAGGAGGAGGCTACAATGCTGGATAAAAAAAATGTACTCACTATCTTGCCCATGTAATTGTAACCCCTCTGTACAGTATTTTCACAATAAAAAAATTACTCAAATTTGCCCAAACCATGCATATAGTAATTCTGAGGATCCATCACTCAAAACCTAATGTAGTAGGCTACATTACATTTGGGTATAACACAAATGTTATACCCATCAATACTACTCACTAAACCTTGATCTTGCTTCATGCTCATTATCCTGAATATAACAAATGCTGATTTATTTTAGTAACTCGGGACTATTAGCTGAATTGTGCAAATGTGTATGCAAGACTTTTTATTTTGATTTTTTTGCTTTAATACTTATTATTTTGGGGTACCACCTAATCAAGATCATGTATATTAAATCTATAAATAGGACAGATTTCCAGAATTAACTTTCTATTCCAAAGGAAGAAATATTCCTTTTCACTGTCAAGTCTAATTCTTTTATTGCCACTGTGTGTGTATTTGTTCTATAAGAATACAAAAGATTTTAAAGGCAAAAAAACTGTCTTGTTTTTGATTATTCATGATTATTTTACAATATTCCATATATGTATATTTTAAAATGAATTAATAAAATTTTATCTATCACTAAAGTTTTTATAACACTGCTTTCTTAAATTTTAGAAATATGTTCTAATATTGTTTCTTCTGTAACAGGTGGTGATGGAAGTAAACAGTGAATTTATTGTTGAGGTAATGTATAAACAAGCTATTTTTCTCTCCTCAAAATTGGTTTTATAGTACATCAACAATAAGAATATTTAAAATTATCCAGATAAATAATTATCCATATAAAACTCAAAAGAAAGAATCTTAGTCAAAATGATATAAAATGATGAAAAACCTATACTCCCAGGTTTCTGTTCTTTAAGAATCTTATTAAGTATATAATCAAACTATATTTGTAGCTTTTTTACATGTCTCTCAAACTATAGCAAAGCAAAGGAAGCAAAGAAACAGTTTAGAATGGTAGAGGATTTTTAGATAGTAACAAAAAATATAGTCTATAAATTAGGAAAGCATACAAATAAAAAATATGTATCCAAGACCTGGTGGCTAATATCTATAACCCTAGCTACTCAGGAGGCTGAGATATGAAGATCAAGTTTGAAACCAGCTTAGGGAAGGAAAGACTGTGAGACTTTTATCTCCAATTAAGCACCAAAAAAGTAAGAAGTAAAGCTGTAGCTCATGTGGTAGAGAGCTAGCATTGAATACAAAAGCTCAAGGACAGCACTTAGATCCTGAGTTCAAGCCCCAGGACTAACACATACCTACAAAAAAATGCAATTGCAGTTTAATAATCCAACAAAGAATCTTGTTTCTTTTACACTAGGACTTAGAAAATAAAGCTAATTTTCTTCAGCTCTGGTGGTGCTTAATCTTACTGTGGTAGGTAAATTTCTATCATAATTATCTTAATTCAATGGAAAAAAGTTATAATATTCCTTCACAAAATATCAGTACATTTCAAGAAGATGTATTAAACACTGGAGAGCAGAAATACATTGGTTCTTGAAAAAACAAGCAACATTCACATAAAGTTTCTGCTTCTCACATGTAGCAATTAAATTAAACCTTGGGTTAAATAAACTTACAATCACCTATGCTCCAAAAAGGGCATTGAGACTTCCAAAACTGAATATACAAATTTGTGTTTCCTTGTATATAAATATGTTTGTGCCTATAGTAGCATTTCTAAATTCTCAGTAGTATAAAATTTATAAGCACCTACCAACAACAGCAACATAAAACCACAAAGGAACAAATATAGCAAGTAGAGATACAAATATATAACACTGGAAAGCCATAGAATTATTCATAAGATTATAGGCAGTGCTGTCAAGCTGGTTAATAATATTCTCTAATTTTGAAATGATGTACTTAGATGCTTAGCCATGGTTATGTCTTTGTCATCAGAAGCAGAAAAAAAATCCTTCCTTCTTGTAGGTGATCACAACTTCCATTTTGTATGTGACTCACACAGAGTAGTGGTAATTTTACTTCTGGTAACAGTAATATTGTATCAAAGTACAAGGAAGGGTAGGAGAGGCGAGGCCTCTATCTAGGGAAGATAGATGAAATAAAGAAAACTGCAGTATATTGTGCAATGTAGCATATAACTAATAGAACTGGTCTCTTCAGAATCTCTTTAGAAATGAGATGATTCTAAAGAAATAGCAGTGTGTTACCCGAGTTATGTGTATGCAGTTGTAAGTTAGTTAAAATTTCCTGTGTTCATCCAACTTAATGCCATTATTTCCTCTGGAGTCACCTTTCAATGTTAAGCAAATGTCCATGCTATGTATAAGTGTTTTAGCACCATGACAAATATGAACCATTTTTGTTTAAGGTGAAAGAATTAGACATTGAAAATGGCACTACGAAGTGGCAAACAGTCAGGAGGCAGAAGCGGGAGTGGATCAAGTTTGCTGCGGCCTGTCGGGAAGGAGAAGACAATTCCAAGAGGAATCCAATTGCCCGAGTAAGTGAGAAAAACAACACAAACAAGGAATCTGAGCTGATAGCAGGTGCCTGGCAGTCAGGAAAACACAGACTAATTCTGGGACTTGCAGCCTCTGCAGCTTGTAGTGATTTAGAGAATGGCTTGCAATTATTTGCTTGTACTACAGAGACATTTTTAGTATCATATGCTAGAGACTGTTAGACAGCAGAGGGTCTTTAGCAAGGGATTCCAGAAGAAAGATTTAGATCTCCAGCACTAGTGGACTATATTGGGGCCTATATATGTGATCAGGTATTTGATAGCCTGAACACTAATCCTGAAAAAACAAACAAGGGGTTGTTGCATTTAATTAATTCAAGAAAGTTAAAGCTGATGTGCACAGTTCTCACTAGATATCTACATGCAGAAACTTGGGTATTCTTATAAAGTGATAGCTAGCAGAAAAAGTGTTAAAGGGAAGTGTGATCAGTTCCTGGGGGCTAGGGTCTCCCTGGCTCTTTCTGAGCATCTTTGCTTTGGGGCATCATTGAAATCGGTAGGCAAATGATCTTCAGATTTGGGGGAAGATTTTTAAGTTGTTATTTCCATTTAACTTAAAGCATTCTCTTTTCCTACTTATAACACATATCCATTTTTTATTCCCATTTTGGGGGTTCCAAAGAACATTCTTTGAATCACAGATGAGCTTACCAAATCTGTCTCTCCAGCTGACTTGGATTTCAAAGTTTGGGTAACAAATTTTAATATTTTATCACATGTTGTCATCTTCAATGTACAGGTAATATTTCAAACTATAGCAATTTAAATTTATAAGCAATAACTATTAAACATCTAAAGCAAAATCCATATTACAGAATATTGGCTATAAAATCTATGTAACAGAGGAATGATAAAGTACATTTGAATTTATAAAATCTTTGTCACCTCTGTACACTCCATCTTTTTCTTTTTTTTTATTAAGCTACCATTTGATGATGTCTCAAACTTAAGTCTAAATAGAACGCAATTCTTTTTTAATTTCATTTTTTTCTTCTTTGTCATTCATGGGGCTTGAACTCAAGGCCAGGGCGCTGTCCCTGAGCTTTTTCATTCAAGGCTAGTACTCTACCAGTTTGAGCCACAGCACCACTTCTGGCTTTCTACTGGTTAATTGGAGATAAGAGTTTCACATGCTTTTCTGCCCAGGCTAGCTTCAAACTGGGATCCTCAGATCTCAGCCTCCTAAGTAGCTAGGATTACAGTCATGACTCACTGGCATCCAGCTGGGAACACAAATTATTAAAGACACTAATGATACTTATTTCTTCTGTCTGACTCCATTGGCAAACAAAATCAGAGAATCAAATCATATTTTGGTTAACAATAACACACCTAAAACAATTATGCATGTGCATTGACAGACACATATTGATTGGAGTTGTATATGTCCTTCCCCACAAAATCCCACACCAAACTTCTTCACTAAAATCCTTCCCACAATTATGCATGTGCATTGACAGACACATATTGATTGGAGTTGTATATGTCCTTCCCCACAAAATCCCACACCAAACCTCTTCACTAAAATCCTTCCCACCATACACTAATGCTTGGAGGTCAATGCGTAAAAGGTCACAGAGGACTAAGTCAGGATGTATTTTAAATCACAGCCTATCTGTTGTAGTTCCCAGGCCCTTTTCATTCTGCTGAACTCTCAGGATCATGTTCTTCTCTAAACTCGATCACAATCCTAGCCACTTTGCTTATAGATTCGCTCAGACTGTGAAGTGAGTCAGAAGATTACATACAGAATCTCTGGAGCAGGAATTGATCGACCACCTTATGGAGTGTTCACCATTAATCCTCGGACGGGGGAAATTAATATCACTTCAGTGGTAGACAGAGAGATAACTCCACTTTTCCTGGTAAGTCACAGCAGTGTGATTTGATTTATTCTTGTGACATTTCTTTTTAAAAAGTCATCTCACAGTATATTAGTTGCATGTATCAAAATGTCATGAGGAAACCCATTCAAATGTACAAAAGATTGTATAAAGAATATGGCTTATCTTTTATTTTTTTTAAATGTCTGTCATGGAGCTTGAAGTCAGGGCCTGGGCACTGTCCCTGAATTCTTTTGCTCAAGGCTAGCACACAACCACTTTGAGTCACAGCACCACTTCCAAGTTTCTGGTGGTTAATTGGAGATAAGAGTCCCATGGACTTTCCTGCCCAGTCTGGCTTCCTATTGTGATCCTCAGATCTCAGTCTCCTGAATGGCCAGGATTACAAGCGTGAGCCACCAGCGCCCAGCTCTGGTTTACATTTTATAAAACATAATAGATTGAAACAAATGGGCTGAAGGGATGAGAAAAATAACATAGTCTGAATTCACTGAAAAATATTGTTTCTAGCATCTTTCCTTATGCATCTTTAAACATGGTTATTAATTTCCTTTGATGGAGAAAGACAAGTTTCCTTCTGATTTTCCACAGATCTATTGTCGGGCTCTGAATGCACGGGGTGAAGATTTAGAGAGCCCTCTTGAGCTCAGAGTCAAAGTTATGGATGTGAACGACAACCCCCCAGTGTTTACACAAAACGTGTACACAGCCAACATTGAAGAGAACAGCGAGGCCAGTAAGTAGAATGGAACTTCCCAGCACTATATGGGTGATTGTTAAAAACAGGCTTTCTTTGGGCCTGTTTGTCAAAATTCATGGCTGAGCCCAACTAGGCTGAGTTAGAGTGGTGTCTGTGGGATTGTCCCAAATCAGACCAGTCACTGAGAGCCATCATCTCACAGGGAAGCAAGTGACATCATGCCTTCCCCTTCTTTATTTAGTTCTAGCTTGCTTCATTCATTTCCAAGTCTAGTGCTTACTCCTTTTTGTTCATTCTTCTGAGTATTCTTTCCTTCCTATGCTTTGGTTTTTTTGAGGTTGCTACTTTCCCCTTTCCTTTCTGCCTTCTACCCTTTTCTCCTCCAGTCCTCCTGCTCCCATTCAACTCTGTGTCTGCCAAAATGCTTCTAAATACATTTGTAGGGAAAAATTAGAACAAAAACTTCAGAAGAAAGGCAGATCTACAAAGCATGTTCTTTAACCTAGAGGATGGGAGGACATAGCAAGGCCAGAGAAAAGATTTTGTCTAAGAGAAGCAAAACAGACAGCAACTTGGCTTCTTTTCTAGCATGCTTTTTCATTTGGCCAATCTATGAAGGAAAAGAAGGTAATACACACAACCAAGAACACTCAGTGCTGATTAGCACTTTGCTAAAGCTTCCTTCATCCACTGAGTACAATTCTAGAAGAAATGGTCCAAATCAGGAAAGTCTTTCATAAGCTATGAAGTTCTTGAACTCTGGCTCTTTCTGTTGAAGAAGTTCTATTCCCAATTGGAGAAATAAAAGAACACATGCGGCCTGCCGACTCTGGAAAAATCTGTCCCGTGAGAATTGACCAGGTTCCATCTTTGTGTCTGTGAATAATTAAGAAACTCTTCATAATTAGTGTGTGTGTGTGTGTGTGTGTGTGTGTGTGTGTGTGTGTGTGTGTTAGGGATAAAATGCAGAGACTCATGTTTGCTAGGCAGGTTCTCTACCATTTGAACCAAGCCTCAAATCCCTTTCTTTTCCTTCCTTCCTTCCTTCCTTCCTTCCTTCCTTCCTTCCTTCCTTCCTTCCTTCCTTCCTTCCTTCCTTCCTTCCTTCTTTCTTTCCTTCCTTCCTTCCTTCCTTCCTTCCTTCTTTCTTTCCTTTCTTTCTCTTTTTCTCTTTCCATCCCTCCCTTCCTTCCTTCCTTCCTTTCTTTCTTTCTTCCTTCCTTCCTTTCTTTCTTCCTTCCTTCCTTCCTTCCTTCCTTCCTTTCTTTCTTTCTTTCTTTCTTTTTTCCTTTCTTTCTTTCTGCTTTCTTTCTTTCCTTCTTTCTTTTTCTTTTTTCTTTCTTTCCCTTCCTTCCTTAATTCCTTCCCTTCATTCATTCATTCGTTCCTTCCTTCCTTCCTACCTTCTTTCTTTCCTTCCTTCCTTCCTTCCTTTCTCTTCTTTCTTTTCTTCCTTCCTTCTTTCTCTCTCTCTCTCCCCCTCTCTCTCTCTCTCACTGTCCTCTTTCTTTCTTTTGGGTTCATTTTTCAGACAAAGCATCTCACTACCTGTGTCCAGGCTAGCCTTCAACCCCAATCCTCCTACTTCAGCCTCTCAAGTAGCTGGTGCTGCAGGCCTGTGTCACAACACCTAGACTGTTTTGGAGATAGAGTCTTCCTAACTTTTCTAGAGGTTAACCTAAAGCCCTAATCCTTCCATCTGTGTCTTCTGAGTGTCCATGGATCAACACATCCAGCCTCAAATCTTTGTCTCAATTCCATGCTTGCACTGTTTGATAAAGTGCTGTTTTCACCCATGCAGCAAGTAGTAGTTCTCTGCTTTCTGACTGAATGATAATAAAAAACACAAATGCCTAATAAACAATTACAAGGTCAAGTTAACTAACCTATTGTCTTCCTTAAGTAGGCTTGTTAAAATAATTTTTCCAGACCATGTCAAAAACAAATCTTACAAAATCACTTTCTCCAGCTTTATGATAGTAAACGGAATCTTTCCATAGACTCAAAACTTCTAACTTAAAAAATACAAACATTTTATTAAAAAGTAGAGAGTTTGTGAGAAGGAAAATACCATTAATTTTTTTAATCATTGCTATGGTTATAAATTGTGGTAATACCTTCCAAAAACTACCCAAACAAAGAATTCAAGAGAATCTCCACTGGGCTGGGAAAGTGGCTCAGTGGTAGAGTGCTTGCCTTGCATGCATGAGGCCCTGGGTTTGATTCCTCAGCACCACATAAGCAGAAAAAAAAAGCCAGAAGTGGCACTGTGGCTCAAGTGGTAGAGTGCTAGCCTTGAGCTAAAGAGCTGAGGGTGCCCAGGCCCAGAGTTCAGGCCCACGACTGGACCCAAAAAAAAAAAAAAAAAAAAAGAATCTCCACTATTCTTTCATGGCCAAAGAAATGTTTAATTTGCATAGACATGTCTAATTCGATGAATTAATTATCATATATTCCCAACTATTCCTCACCTCCATTCCTAGATGCGCTGGTAGTAAAACTGAGTGCTACAGATGCAGATGAAGACAATCACCTGAATTCTAAAATTGCCTACAAGATCATTGCTCAGGAGCCTACAGGTGCACCAATGTTCATGGTGAACAGGTACACTGGAGAAGTTCGCACGCTGTCCAGTTTCCTTGACAGAGAGGTAAAGCTTTCAGGAGTGAATGATAAGCAATTGAAAGAGTGAAAATTTGGGAAAACAGAGATAAAATGACCCATGTGTGTCCTTATACCAATGTAAAGGAAAAGAAAAATATTGCAATATTTTTAATGAAAATTAAAAGAGAGTGATATAGACTTGATGTAACAGTAAAATAAAAGACAACTAAGGGCATTGGGATGTGGGTTGGGTTGTATCTAGGGCCAGGCCTAACTCTCACCATTCTTGTTCTTCTTTATGAAGCAACACAGCATGTACAACCTTCTCGTGAGAGGTTCTGATCGGGATGGGGCCACAGATGGGCTATCTGCCGAATGTGACTGCAGAATCAAAGTTCTCGATGTCAATGATAATTTTCCCATCTTAGAGAAAACTTCAGTAAGTTGTTGTTCTTATGACCCTTTTATATTTGTTTCACCCATGACAATCTTTTTTCCATTTTTTTATATTTTTCATTGTAAAGATACTGTACAGAGGGTTTACAGTTTCATGAGTAAAGTAATGAGTACATTTCCTGTCAAGCATTGTTACCTCCTCCTTTGTTTTTCTCCTACCATCCTTTTCCTCCCCACCTTCCCAACTCCTCCCTTCCCCTCCCCCTAAGTTGTAAAGTTCATTTTCAACATAGTGTCTTGCCCATCTCATTGTTACAATGGACCTTTTTTCTATAAGTGCCAATAACCAATTTTCTCTCCTGCTAGTTTGTAAGCCTGTCACATGCATAGATGGATTCAGCATGGCTATATAAGCCATAGAATTTCTTTTGTGTAAAAATGCAGCTAACATTATATATTTATCTTTGACTCAGTATTTCAAACAATCCTACTCTGTATAAACAAGATGTGCTCCATGTATTGTCTATGCATAGAAATTAGAACTTTATTGATTTCATTCTGAGAATAACCCAACATAGTGGTGTATTTGTTATTGATGGACCATTTCTAGCAGAAATTCAAACAGTGTCAACTTCCATTTTAACCTTTAGATGTAAAGAAACATAAAATTCAAAATAGTGAGGTAAATGTGCTTTGCCACCTGCTTTAATAAAAATATATCATACTGATTGTCCTTTTCACAATTGTCTGTGGCCACTTTCTGCTATGATGGCAGAGAGAAAAGCAGCCAAGATGGAGATTTCTCAGCACAGAATATCATTACTAATGTAGTTATTATCTGGCCCTTTATAGAAAAACATCTGATCTCTTATCAAAGAAAAAAGAAAGAAAGAAAGAGAAAGAAATTACAAATAAGCAAGGAAAATCATGAAACAAAGTGTAGCTGCATATTGATTTCACATGGAACACATTGAAATCAGTTTTATCATCTTATAAACATTTAATTCTTGTCTTTGATTGGACATATGTTATGTAATAATTAATGATGCAGGAATCAATGCCATTTATTGATCTTATTTCAGAAGATAACTATGTATTAGTTAATACCTATCAATGACTCATTTAGAGATTATAAAACTGATGTATGTCATTTCAGTACTCAGCAAGCATCGAAGAGAATTGTCTGAGCTCAGAATTGATAAGATTACAGGCAATTGATCTTGATGAAGAAGGCACTGATAATTGGATGGCAAAATACTTAATTCTCTCTGGTAATGATGGGAATTGGTTTGATATTCAAACAGATCCACAAACCAACGAAGGCATTCTGAAAGTCGTCAAGGTACAGTGTGGGATCTGCAATATTTTCTTCCAAAAAAGTTTTAAATTGTTCCTATAACCAGGTCTTGCCTTGTCTGACTATGAATACTGTTTTATATTGACAAGTGTCCTAAGGAAGCATGTGGGTCCAAACCAGCCAGTCTAACAACACAATATTTCTTACCAAGAAAAAGAAGACCATTTTGTTCTTACAGAGCCTAATATCTACTTGGGAAGATAAGGAAAGCACCCAAAAACTAGACCACACACATGACTTAACAACAAATAAATAAGAGTAAAACTGTTATTATATAAAACATAATTGTGAGGCTGGGAATGTGGCTTAGTGGTAGAGTGCTTGTCTAGCACTCAAAAAGCCCTGGGTTCAATTCCACACTACCACATAAACAGAAAAAGCTAGAAGTGGTGCTGTCGTTCAAGTGGTAGAGGGCTAGCCTTGAGCAAAAGAAGCTCAGAGGCAGTGCCCAGGCCTGGATTTCAAGTCCCAGGACTGGCATAATAAACAAACAAACAAACAAATAAATAAATAAGATAATGTGCCAGGCACCAATGGCTCACGCCTGTATTCCTAGCTACTCAAGAGGCCGAGATCTGAGGATTGTGGTTCAAAGCCAGACTAGGTAGGAAACTCCATGAGAATCTTATCTCCAATTAACCACTAGAAAACCAGAAGTGATGCCGTGTCTCAAGTAGTAGAGAGCTGGCCTTGAGGGGAAGAGCTCAGAAACAACTCCCAGGCCCAGAACTCAAGCCCTACCACCACCAACAAAAAAAAAATTGTCTTGTAAGTAAAATACAAATGTATAGATGAGAGAAGAGAAGGCAGGATCCTTCTTGTCTAGATTCATCTGAAAATGTTTCATTCAGGGCACGAGAGACCTGGTATTTCTAACATCGATAATGAAAAGGTAAAAACATTAACCATTATTAAGTAATAATGGTAGTAAGCACCAACTGTTGTAGTATATTATATGCATAAAGGCCTTATGTATATTACCTTAATTAATTCTCACAGCTCTGGGGAATAAGTATATTAATTTCCTATTAGTAGAAAGTAAAACAGAATCCAAGAGGTAAACTTAGCTTTCAGTCACCTAGGTAACAAATGACCAAGGCCAAGGTTCAACAAGATCTCGCCCATCCCTAAATTATATTTAACTGCCACTCTCAAGCAATCGGGCCCAGGAATAGTTCAGAAAAGAACAAGTGCCTGAGATTTTTCTCTCTCAATCTGCTTACCTCTGTAAACCCCTTCCCAGCTGTTGTGTGCCCTGCTTGCCTCTTTAATACACATTTGTACCCAAAAGTATTCCTTCTTGGAAAGGACAAAGTACTCACTTTGGTGGCTATTTTACCAACATCTTGCCATAAAAGTAACTGCTACCACACACTCCTTTAGGATAAAGTCTCTACCTACTTTCATACTTAGTTCTGAGATGAATGTGTGTCTTCTTAAATGAGCACTGTCATATGAAATTAGACAGTAAGAAAAATACCCGTGGTGTGAAAAAACCTACCAAAGCCCAATTTCTTTCCAGAGGGTTCATCTTCCTGAGTCTGGTTCCAGATCACATTTCCAAGATCCAACCATGTACCCTTTTAAATGGGTTTTATTCAGTCATTCCTCAGCCCACAGAGACCAACATTTCAACCTCTCCATTCAGGAGACTAGGATACACAGTTAATTTATCCTGCTCTTTGCAAAACCCAATCACAAACAAATTGCACTCTTGATATGATGTTCTGCTTGCAAAGAATGAACTCAATCTCCTTCTGACTTTCCTGGTTTCTACCATCTTCCCTGTTAGAGGGAGGATTGACCCTGAATCAATTTCCTATATTGTATAGATTTCTACGTTGGACATAACTTTAAACACATATTAGCAACGTTTATCTCATTCTATTCGATAGAGAATTATTCTGACAAACAAATGCATCTGTGTACACATATGGAAAATCCAAGAGATTTCTCAATCAAACTATATTTTCTCAATTTTTTTTCATTTGTGTAAGAATAGCACAGGAGTATAGACATTGAAAGGTGAATAGTAGAAGTGAAACCCCTTCCAATAGAAAACTCTTCTTTGAGTACATAATTCCTATTTACCCCTGTGCTAAGCATCTCAGATACTGGTTCATTATGTGGACTGCATTATCACAGATATTATAGATATTATAGACTAGTAGACTGGATATTATGTTGCCATCTATGAAAAGATGTATCATGGCTATCAGAACCCTAAATTTTGCTAAAATTTAAGTGAAAAATACTGAGATCTCTTTAAACAAAGCACCAAGTGATTTGGGCAAGTATTTTTCTTAGCTCTGCTCAAATATTTTACTCTGAGAAAATATATAAGATGTAAACTTTCCCTGGAGGCACAGACATCTTGACTTCAGTCATTGGCAAATGATGCAAAAGATGCTTTCCTTAACGGCTAAACCACTTCTAGACAGACACAACCCATGTGCCCTTTATGACCACAGCTTTCCACTGATGACTTTCATGTCCTACACCAAGCACTCTGGATCAAAAGATTCTATTCATCTTTTATCCAGGAAGCCCAGTTCAAAGGTGACTTTTTCTCAGGGTGTGGTATTTACTTTTTTGAATGTACCTTGTAAAGGAGTCTTCTCCTCTACCAGACCTAGTGCAATGAAATTATAGTGTCGGGCAGACTATAATAATCAACAATTCTATAGAATTTTTTGCATCATTTCTATAAAAATATAATTGTATGTTTAGTTACATTATATATTTATATATTAGCTCCTTTATCCTACTGTTAATATTTTTTAATATTCTCTTACATGACTTTTACAAAGAATATGAGCCCTATTTATTCATCAAATGATTCTGAATACTTTTATTCCATTATTCATGATTTTTTTGTTGGTTTGTGGGGTGTGTGTGTATGTGTGGTAAGAGAGAGCTTAAACTCAAGGCCTTGTACATGCTTGTCAAAGGCTTTTCCACTTGAGCAACTTTCTCAGCCCTTCTGTTTTTACTTTATTTTTGAGAAAGAATCTTGCTGTTATTATTGTCTGTGCTGGCCTCAAACTTTGAATTCTCCTGCTCCACCTCCCACCGGCTGAAGTCATATATATGCCACCATGCTCAGCTACTAAATTTGCTTTTTATTTTTCATAAAAATTAATTTGAAAGGAAATATTATTCTACATTTCAGAGGCTGTTTTTGATTTATTGTTTGTTTTTGTTGGTCGTGGGGCTTGAACTCTGGGCCTGGTTGCTGTCCCTCAGCTCTTCAGCTCAAGGCTAGAACTATACCACTTGAGCCATAGTGCCACTTTCAGTTTTCTGGTGGTTTATTGGAGTTAAGAGTCTCACAGACATTCCTGCCCAGGCTGGCTTTGAACCACGATCCTCAGATCTCAGCCTCCTAAGTAGCTAGGAATATAGGCATGAGCCACCAGTGCCCAGTCCTTTTCAGAGTTTTAATATAAGAAATTCAAAACTCCAATTGTGAGTCCAATTTGAAGTCACAGGACTGTGGATGTAGAGTAGTGGCTCACTTGCCTTTGGTCTGTTTTCAGCATTACAACAAACAGTAAATAAAAAAGTGACAAAGTCACAGACTTACATGACCTGCAAACTGGATCATGCCAAAAGATAAAGCCAGTCATATGTGTAATATACCTTATTAGGTATAGTAATTCAAGTTATTTCAATTTAAAATCTGAGTTGCCTAGCTACCAGATTTCATTCTAGCATGTGTTTTGTTTACCATACTTACTTTTTTAGCAAAAAAAAAAAAACATTATATTATTGTTTCTGGGAGTTTTTTTAACTATCATTTCAGATGCTGGATTATGAAGAGGTGCCTAATATTCATCTCAGTATTGGAGTTAAAAACCAAGCCGAGTTTCACCACTCAGTTGCTTCTCAATTCCGAATGCACTCAACCCCTGTGAGAATTCAGATTGTTAATGTCAGAGAAGGACCCACATTTCGTCCAAATTCCATGACTTTCAGTGTACGAGAAGGAGTGAGAGGAGACGCCTCATTGAATTATGTGCTTGGCACGTACACAGCCATAGATCTGGACACAGGCAACCCTGCAACAAATGTCAGGTACCGAAAATATTCTATTTGCTAGAGCATGGCATGGCTCTGCCCATTATTAATTCACACTGTGTGCTGGAATAGGTTGTAATACTCTGGGAATTTTGTTTTGCTCTTGTTTGTTTGATTGTTGGAGCAGACTATGGTATTTCAGATTTTTTGTCAGAATTTTAATCATCCAATTGACTATAAGAGTAATTCTCTGGGAACAATTGGAAGATACAAGAGCCACCTAAGTTATTCCAAAAATATATCTGATCTTGTGTGCTCAACTGTGCTACCCTAAATTAAGCCTGATTGTAGCAAATTGTGGACAATAGCATATAATAAGAATGAGTTACTGTCTGTTTTCCTAATACCTATGGCTGTCTTTGACTTTGAAACTAATTTCTACCCTATGTATAAACTAAGAGGATAAAGCAAGGAGAAACCTAAGTAACATGTGTGTCAGAAACATGACAAGTATGAGCAGAGCCACAACAGGAGAGATAGAAAGATGGGTATGAGAAGTACCAGGTATGCAGACTATATAGAAATTAGAAACTAAGTAAAATATTCTGGAAATATCTAAAGTGAACTAGGTATGCCTTATCTATATTCTCCTATTTTTTTCTTCATTCCAGTACTTTTGTAGTAAATAAGGTCTATTGACTCATTAATTATTTCCATGTTAGCAGTTTTAGTGATTCAGTAAGTTGATAGACTCCAGGGAAATTATGAAGTCTGTTAGTATGGAGTAAGGAAAAAAACAGGATCTGATAAATGAACTGAACATTTGAAATCATACATGATACAGAAAATCAAAACTTCTTCCAAATAAGTCAAGTACCAGAAATTCATTACAGCAATACTCAGACAGAAAAGCCAAAGAGAGGATAAATACCATGAGCCCTTTAATGGACCAAACATTAAAGTATTCCAAAGCCATCATATGTCCTAAAATCTACATCAAACATACTAAATATATCACATGTGAAAAGAATAAATAATACTTCATTTGGAAAATAAAAAATATTTGATATAATTTAATATTATGATTTAATAAGTGGGATTGAAATAAATTCATGCATTTTATTAATTCTATTAAGAAGATAATGAAATTTTTTATATATCTGTTAATGTTTTAACATTAGATTCATATATACACAAATATATACATTTTCCAAATCAAGAGAACTGGCACCATAAATCCCATAGACACAATATATAAGCTTACTGCATCATTGCTCTTCTGCAATTTAAAAGTAATAATTGTCATAGAAACATAATGATAAATTTATTTATTTAAAAACAGGTATATTATAGGGCATGATGCAGGCAGCTGGTTAAAAGTTGATTCAAGAACTGGGGAGATACAGTTTTCTAGGGAATTTGATAAGAAGTCAAAATATATCACCAATGGAATGTACGCAGCAGAAATCCTCGCTATAGATGGTAAGAAAATTCTTTTCAATATTACAGATTACAGCCTATAAGTTAAAATTATATAAGTAAAGTTCAGTTTCTGTCTAAGACCTCATCTGTTAAGTATATCTAACACTATTAGTACAGTATGTTAGAAATATTTAGCTAACTCAGGGCTCTGAGTTGTATACAAAATGTTCCCAACAACAATGGAAGAGGCTACAATGCTTGATAAGGAATGTACTCATTACCTTGCCCATGTAATTGTAACCCCTCTGTACAGTATTTTAACAATTAAAAAAAAAGTTCCCAAGAATGTAGTTATAATGATAACTATATATAGCTATATGTAGCTATACTATATATATAATATAGCTACAATGAGAAACCTGTACAATCACTACTTAATTAGACTTGAGATGCTCTGAACTAGGGACCAAAGAGTCATTTCAAATATAAGATTCCATTCAAATTAAAAGTCTATGAACATAGATACATCAAATTAATTTGTAACTAAGTCACTTCTCCACCAAAAATATCCATGACACATTCTTCCTGGTGAGTAGCAACAGGAGTTTGTTTATTTATCAATAGTGATTCTTCAGAGCAATGTCTAGGCAACCATCTGATACAGAACAAAACAATGGAGAAAGGTCAGTAGCCAGGAAAGAGGAGGAAAATTAAAGTGTGCCAAATAGATGCCTATTATAAAATAAATATGGCAGGTTGGGACATTAATTTCATATCTGACTTTTATAATAGACAAACAGAAAAAGGTAAATGAGCAGAATAAGATTCAAAAAAGAAATCATGACAAAGTTCAAGAAAGTAGTATCTGTACAATCTGGTCTTCACCTTGAGGTTCACTTTTAACATTTGGGCAAGTTATGTAAGATATTTATTATTGGCATTTTAGAGGGACTGTTTCCAAAATGAATTCTAATCATGCTGGTCACATCCTATGTTTGACAATCGATCGTATGTGAAATTTTCAGTAGAAATTAGAATAAAAAAGTAACCACTTCATGTGAAAGAAGAGTGTATAATCAAACTGTTAACAGGAGCCAGGGTGGCTCATACCTGTAATCCTTGCCACTCAGAAGGCTGATTTCTGAGGATTAAACTTAGAAGCCAGTCTGAGCAAGAAAATCTGTGAAGTTTTATTATTATTATTATTATTCTAGAGTTTATTGGCTCTTACTGTTTATTTTTTGTATGTATTTTATTGTAAAAATACTGTACACAGGGGTTACAGTTACATCAGCAAAGAAATGAGTACATTTCCTATCGGGCATTGTTGGCTCTTCCTTTGTTATCTCCAATGAACTTCCAAAAAGTCGGAAGTGGATCTGTGGCTCAAGTGGTAGAATGCTAGCCTTGAACACAAAAGCTCAGGGACAGTGCCCAGTCCCAGAGTTCAAGCCCTAGGACTGGTGCAAACACATACACACACATACACACACACACACACACACACACACACACACACACACACACACACACACACAGAGCATACTAGGAGAAAACTAAATGCAAGGCTCAGATGTTATGCACACAGCTGTCCAGATGGTTCTGTCTAATATACATGTAGAGGCAAACCCTATAACCAAGATCTTGAGCATTGATTGTCATCTCACAAGGTCATCATCAGAAAGCTAGAAAAGACAGAGAATAATAAATAATGCATTCTATAAAATAATCTGATGTCTTTCTAGTGAAAGAATGGCCCAGTGCTGAATCAGGTATAACAGACTGCACAAAATTATGTGGAATATGAATAAACACTTGGTTTATTATTATTTGATTAATTCAGTGACTCTACCAGTTAGTCACATAAAACATTTTTTTGGTTTTTTTTTTTTTGTGTGTGCTGCTATTAGAGATTGAACTCAGGGCCTAGGCTTTTTTACTCATCTGATATTTTACCGCCTGAGCCAGTCCTCCATTTCCAGCTTTTTTTCTAATAAAATGGATATGAATCTCCTGGCCTTTCCTAATCAAGCTGGCTTTGAACCATGATCTTCAGATCTTTAGATCTGAGTAGCCCTAGCTACATGCCCCTAGCACAAGAACTAAGTGTACTAGACAGGATAATGTATTCTACTTTACAAATGAGAAAGTTAATGCTTCTTTGCTGGATTAAAAAACCAAAAATATGGATCAGAAGGGAAGAGAAAACTGGGAGACTGTGAGAAAAGGGATGAAATTGAGCCAAAAGAGATCTATTCTTTACCTGACTTATGTAACTGTAGCCCCTTTGTATATCATCTCTATAATAACAGTAAAAGAAATTTAAGTAAAAAGAATTCATTCACTATAACTGAACATAGAGTAGGAAAGTAGATGAAGCTCAGACTTCTAATTGTTGTTTTCTATTTTTTAATAAATTATACTAGGCAAATATGGTTTCAAAAAGCTTAATGGTACAAAAAAGATCAAATAGATTTATATATGCTTTCAAGAGAGCCATTTCAGAGAGAAATGGAATATATTTGAATCAATAATAAAAACAAAATTTAACACTCAATTGTTTAATTTCCACAAAAACTGCAGACAGAGTAAGTTAGCATGCTTAATGGAAGGCTATCTGTTGCACTGGCATCTAATTTATTGGAACAAAGTAAGAATAGAAAGCAGTAGACCTTGAAAGGGGAACATTTAATTTCCCATTTTAGCATGCTTAGGAACTCATAGAATGGAATAAAGATTACATTTAAAGAAGAGTGAATGCAATATGTAAGTCTTGAATGGGGAAAAATGGTTCAAAAGCACCCACTGTAAGTAGAAAAAAAGTGCACAAGAGCAACAGTAACTGCCAATCATCAAAGTAGACAAAAACCTGTCATGTTTCACAGGTTAACTCCTACTACTCCTCTAAGTAGCATCATTATGTGAGATGAGCAAGACTTTTGTTTCCCTGACACTCTGTACCTCAACACCCATGATGCCTTACTTTTCAGATGGCTCTGGCAAAACAGCTACAGGAACTATATGTATTGAGGTTCCTGATGCCAGCGATTACTGTCCAGTCATCTATTCTGGAAGAACCATCTGCGTTGATTCTCCATCAATTTTTATCTATGTTAGTGACCATTCTTTCGGGGCCCCTTTTACCTTCTGCGTTGTTGACCAGCCATCAGAAGTAGCTAACATGTGGGATATCCAGACAATAAATGGTAAGTGGAATGAAAACATGCTCATGATTCAAGCCCAAAAGCAAAACGTATTAGTAAGTAATAAAGTTATTTAACTATATATATTTCTTGCTCTATGACTTTCATGTGCACAAAGTCTGTTTAGAAAAATATTAGGCTGAAATAAAAGTCAAAATATTCTATCCAGTCCGGAGCCAGTGCCTCACGCCTGTAATCCAGCAACTCAGGAAGCTGAGGTGTGAGGATCAAGGATCAAAGCCAGTCCTGGCAGAAAAGTCCCTGTGGGATTTTTATCTCTAGTCAACCACTCAAAAACCCAAAGTGGATCTGTGGTGAAAAGTGGTAGAATGCTAACCTTAATCAATAAAGCTCAGGGAAAATGTACAGGCCCTGAGTTCAAGCCCCATTGACCAACAAAATAAAATTAAAGTGTGTGTGTGTGTGTGTGTGTGTGTGTGTGTGTGTGTGTGTGTGTGTGTGGAGAGAGAGAGAGAGAGAGAGAGTTCACCGATACTTCTATTCTAAATAATCATGTATAAATACCAGTTTATATATCATGCTATATAAGTGGGTAGAAAAGTAATTTTGCTCAGTTGACGTAAACAGAACCCGTGACTAAGTCTCCAAACATTAAACTTCCCTATTTTCAAAAGTTTGGATCGAGTCACATAAATGTCTCTGAAATCCAGGTATCTTAAAATATGCTTTAGACATTCCCTTGTTACTTAGGAGCACAGAGACCAATGAGATGATTGTTTTATCAAGGGCTATAGTTCAGATTTTTTTGTAAGTATAAAAATTTCACTTCAAGGGCCCAATAGCTGAGCAATGGCTGTGTAAACTATAGTGTAGAGTGTTCACAATCTTAGTGTAAGCAGATATTAAAACTAGAATCATGACAAGTTTATAAATACAAAAGAATACATTCACCAAAGACTACAAGGTATAATATAGATCCCAAAGAAGCATATATATGTCTGCTAACTGCTGCTAGCTAAAAATAACATGACATAGAGTTTTAAAAAATTTAAAAAGCATAGATTTCAGAAAAGGTACTTTACCTACCATGGGTTCTCCCTGCAATGTTAAATGTGTAATAGAAAAAGAAATGCCATGAGAGAAGCTTCTTTGAGAAAAGGTATCTCCTTAATTTTGTATTCACTCATAGGAAAGATTTAACAGGGAAGGGAGACGTTCCCGACTCCACGGCCCATGGTGAGATGGAATTCTTTCCACCTCTTTGAAACCACCAAACTTCATCAGTCACAAAATCCACCAGATGTGAAAATCCTAAATTATAATACAAAAATGTCATCGATACATATTTGGCCTAAGAAGAAAATCAGTTGTTTTTTTTTATCATCAACTTTCTAGTTTTTTTTTCAACCAAGCCTCTTTAATATTTTAAAGCTGAGCACATTCAATCCATTCTCATTAAGTAAAAACAACTCTAATCCACTTTCCCCTATTCTTCAGTTATTCAAATAGGAATTGCTAACCATTTTTCTCCTTCACATATTAGATATTCTGAGTAAATAGGTAAGAAAAATATTCTAGCTGGGTGTGGTAGTACATACTTTCAAAAATAAAATACGAACAAAAAGCCTGAGTGAGTAGGGGACCTGTCTCAAAAATGCATGAGGCCTTAGATTTTAATATCCAGTACTACCAAAAAAAAGTCTACATAGACCTTGGTGTGAAAAAGATACTAAAAACTTGTTAACAAAAATTGCACAACAAATATTTCTAGAACCAGCTGATATTGTAAAAGAGAATGTATATAACAATGTGCTATGATGTTTTTTGATTATTACCTTGTGGACCAGTTAGATTTTGATAGACCCTGATGGCTTATCTTGTATCTAACTGAAGGTAATAAACTATACTAAAAAATCCGCAATGGTAGCGCAGAGAATTTGGAGGCTAGCTATTGAAATAATTTTAAATGAAGAAGCAATAATTTCAATCAAAAGATAAATCTTTGAAGATGAATTTGTAAACTGTAATCCTAAATAGAAGTCTTCCAATATTTTCTTTTATCAGAATATTTTTATTCATTAAACATTTGTTGAGTATATATTATATGTAAAGCACTATTGAGCAATAGAGTTCCTTTCCTGCTTTATAAAATTGACAATGTAGTAGGAAACAGTAATAAACAGCTAATTTTTAATGAAAACTGAAAATAATAAGACAAGGCATTCCATGACCAAGAGCCTAGACACCTCAGGTTCCAAGATTGTCTTGATTATCAAGAAGAGCAACCTATTTTTTTCTCTTCTTTTTCAGGAACATCTGCAATCCTTATGGCTCAGCAACCTTTATCTCCAGGAACTTACCAAATTCCAATCCTAGTAAAGGACAGCTATAACAGAGCATGTGAATTGCCCCAGATTGTGCAGTTGATTGCCTGTGTATGTGACAACAATGTGTGCTTGCACTCCAGTACCACGGGGATCTATACTGGGGATGTGAGCGGGGCGACTGACATCTATGGATCCACCACTGATGATGGAGTTGGAGAGTCAAATGTCCGGCTTGGACCTTCAGGGATCGGCATGATTGTGCTGGGCCTCTTACTGCTACTCTGTAAGTACTACATTAAGTCCTGTTTTCCCAAAACTCTCACCAGCCTTGCTAGGAGGCCTGGATTCATTTGGCACAATGTTCATGTGCTCTGAAAACAAACAATGAGACTGGTAAGGGTATGTAAATATTTGATGGTGATCCCTAAGTAATATATGACTAATGACAGCACTAAAGATGGGAAATGTGAAAAATCACTAAGTGTCATATACTAAAGCATAACATCATAAATCCCATAGTGGAAGTTGCATTAAAAGGTTTTACGAGTAGAGAGCAAGAAGCAGTTAATTCAAAGAAGAGATATTAGGAAAATCTTAATGGAAGAAGCGGATTGCACGGCATCTAGAAACCAGAGGATTTTCTTGGAAGTACGATGTACATGAGGAAATCCAGAATGGAAACTGGAGCAGAAAAGGAGCCAAGAGCTGAGGATGTTGACCAGTGGTAGAGCACAGGTTCAGCATCCATGAGGTCCTCGATTGACTCTCCAGTACCAAACATTAAACAACAAACAAGATTGGGAGAAGCAAAACCCCACTCAGGAGGTAGAGAGGTGTGAAGATAGGTTGGGGGCCAGTGGGGAGGTACAGTCCTGGGGGTTGGTCCTCGGGAAATGAAGACTTTGGAGCTCAAGAAACCAGCTCACTCTGAGGTAGTAAAACACAAGAAGGAGTTTAGGGAAGGAAGTTTACTTATGGATTCTGAACTAGCAGGAATAAAAAGACCTCCCATCAAAACTTTTCAAAAGAAAAGTCTCCTTTTTGGAAATTTATGGTGGAGGAAAAGGAAGAGGGGGAGGAAGACTAGATATGTTCTTAATTTTAGGTTGCCCCTAGTAAGCTTAAATTTCATGGGGATCAAACACTACATTTTTAAATTTTAAAAGGTTTAAATTTATCAAGCCATATTTCTAATGTCTGGGCACAAATTAAAGTATCATTCCAAACTATGAGAAAATAGAAACTTTTGTGAAATAATCACACATTATTTTAAGAAAATACTATTTATGAGTGACTCTCAAAATAAAACTTACGAGTGATTCTGAAAATGACATGAGAGACATTTTCAAGAACATGAACCTAGGAAAACGAGTGGAATTGACAGTTTTTATAAATCAGTGGTTCTTAACCCAAGCCATACCTAAGAATCACATAGAGACCTCTAAAAAAACGCACATGTAAGCCCTGACCCAAAATGACACTCAAGCTTTAGCATGCTTAAAAACTTAGTAATTAAGCCTTTAAAAAGCTATTGACAACTCTGAAAACATTACAGGATGGAATAGGAGAAACCCTAGGTCTCCTTGGAGCAGGCCAAAATTTTCTTAATAGAGACCCGGAAACACAACTAATCAAAGAAAGGTTGGACAAATGGGATTGCATGAAGTTGCAGAGCTTCTGCATGGCAAAGGACATAGCTAGCAAGATCAATAGAAAGCCTACAGATTGGGAGAAGATCTTCACTAGCCATACAACCAACAAGGGTCTCATATCTAAAATATACTTGGAACTCAAAAAATTAAACCCCCCAACAACAAATCCTCAAAGAAACAACTGCCCAATAAATAAGTGGGCGAAAGACTTAAAGAGAAACTTCTCTGAAGAAGAAAGAAGGATGGCCAATAGACACATGAAGAAATGCTCAAACCTCTCTAGCCATAAAAGAAATGCAAATGAAAACAACATTGAGATATCACCTCACCCCAGTTAGAATGGCAAAAATCAAGAACTCTAATAACAACAGATGCTGGAGGGGATGTGGACAGAAGGGAAGGAACCTTACTTCATTGTTGGTGGGAGTGTAAACTTGTTCAACCACTTTGAAAAGCAGTATGGAGGTTCCTCAAAAGACTTCACATAGAGCTCCCCTATGACCCAGCAATCCCACTTTGGGGCATTTACCCAAATGTTTACAAACAAGACCACACTAAAGCTACCAGCACAACTATGTTTATTGCAGCATTATTTACCATAGCTAAGATATGGAACTAACCCAGATGCCCCTCAGTAGATGAATGGATCAAGAAAATGTGGCATATATATACACAATGAAATTCTATGCCTCCATCAGAAAGAATGACACTGTCCCATTTGTTAGGAAATGGAAAGACTTGGAAAAAATTATATTAAGTGAAGTAAGTCAGGCCCAAAGAAACATAGGTCCCATGGTTTCCCTTATTTGCAACATCTAGTATATGTATGAGTCAAGCAGAAAAAGTCAGATAAGGTGATGTTAGGAAAATGAACCCTAAGATATGTATTTAAATTTTTTTCTTTCATGAATTTGTTTCTAACGCATTTATAAGATTATTTCTTTGTTGCTTTGTATGTTCCTCCCCCACAGTATAACCCCTGCTTTCACTGTATTTGATATCGGTATAATTTGTGGAGGGGAAGGGGAAAAACAAGTTGTTTAAATAAGGATACAGGTGGACCCGTTGCAGCAATGAGAAGTACAAGTTGTCATGTCGAAAACGAACTTTACAACTTTGGTGGGGGGGAGGAGGGTTGTTGGGGGGGGGGGAGGCTGAGAAGGGATGTGAAGGGTAAACAAAGGAGGCTACAATGCTTGATAAGAAATGTACTCATTATCTTGCCGATGTAATTGTAACCCCTCTGTACAGTAAGTTCACAATAAAAAAAAAAGCTAGTGTCAAGACCAAACATAAGAGTGCATGCCTATAACACCAGTTATAGGAGGCATAGCATGGTTGGAAGCTGGACCCAAGCAAAACCACTAGATCCTATCCCAGAAATAACTCACACAAAAAGGGCTACCAGTTCTGAAATGGTAGAGGATCTGCCTAGTAAATGTGAAGATCATAAAGGGAAAACGCATTTAAAACACCTAGCATGTCTCATACTGTCACTCAGAACATAGCACCAATAGACTATCAGATGTTTACCATGTGATTGCAAAGATGACTGAGACTGGCAAGCCCCTGCCCTAGCCAGGAAGAGATTCAAATTTCCAAGTATGATTTCTACTGAACATGCTTTGCTCTCAGACCATTATAAGGTTCAGAAATATAAATTGAATCATTGTATGTTCAGGAAGATACACACAAAGATAGCTCATATATGTATACCTATATTATATATGTGTGTGCGTGTATGTATGTATATTTATCTGTGTGTCTACACATTTACAAATTCACATACACGTCTATGAGATATCAGGAATCACACTTAATTGGAATCCTTAATATACCACCAACTGGCTCATGTCACTTGAGCCATGGGGAAGATCGGATTTTACTTTCCAAATCTGTCAGAGAAAAATCTGGATTACATGATCTCTCACTCTATCAATTAGTCCTAATTGATCTAATGCATTTGTGTTACAGCATGGATATGTCCATTTGATTCTCGGATGCGGAGGGATGATACTTTTATCTTTGTCTTTTGGTTCTAACTAAAATACCACACAAATGACTCATTCGTTCACCAATATTAAGCAATAGGGGTTAACTCATCACTTTCTTGGGCAGTGTCACCTTTGTTGCTGCTCATGTGTTGCTGCAAACGAAGACAGCCAGAAGGGCTGGGGACAAGGTTCGCCCCTGTGCCCGAGGGTGGAGAAGGAGTAATGCAGCCGTGGAGAATAGAAGGGGCCCATCCAGAAGACAGGGTGAGTGCACTGTTCCTGGTCAGGGAAACTAAGTCTGGCTCTGAATAGAAACGTTAGTGTGAAAATGTTTATTATGTACAAATAATACATACTGATAAAAATGAGCTACAGTAAGTTTATATGCCTCAATTTACAGCCTGCATATGAAAATTTTAAAAAATTAGCATGGCTTGAAAATTATACCAACTGGAAATGAATAGCTCTCAACTTTAAACTGTTTAACATCATACATGTATTTTAGTGAATAGTGCTGCAATAAATGGTTGTGCTGGTGGCTTATTGCAGCACTATTCACTATAGCTAAAGTATGGAGTCAGCCCAGATGGCCCTCAATAGACAAATGGATCAAGAAATGTGGTTTACATACAGGATGGAATTTCATCCATTAGAAAGAATGGTTTAGTACCATTTGTAAAGAAATGGAAAGACTTGTAAAAAAAAATATGCTAGGTAAAGTAAGTCAGGTCCAGAGAGACAAAAAAATCCATGTTTTTCCTTATATATGGAAGCTAGATTTAACTTACAAACCCATAAGTAAATATGTTGGGTGGTATGCAAGTATATACAAATGTATTGACTGAAATATGGTAGATTCAAGGGAGATCTCAAATAATGTAGTTCTTTTGAAAGACAAAAATCAAAGTTCTGCAAAAGAAAACACCAGGTAACAGATACTTGAAAGAGGTAGGTGTGGTCAAGGGGAAAGGAGCAGACAATTGAAGAGGACAAGAGGAGGAGAATGCAGGCAGTAACTGGATGTATACCCTCCAGAATTAAGAATGCTGAAGGAAGGGAGGATGGGGTAAGGATAGGAGAGAATGTTGAAAGGGGTGACACTGATCAAGATATATTGACCACATGCTGGAAGCTTATGCCTGTAATTCTAGCTACCCCGGAGGCTGAGGATTACAGTTCCAAGCCAGCTGGGGCAGGAAAGTCCCTGAGACACTGATTACCAATCAACCACCAGAAAACCGGAAGTGATGCTATGGCTCAAAGTGGTAGAGTGCTAGACTTGAGCAAAATAGCTCAGGGACAGCACCCAGGCCCTGAATTCAAGCCCCATGACCAACAACAACAACAAGTATATATGTGTGTGTGTGTGTGTGTGTGTGTGTGTGTGTGTGTATACATACATACATATGTCATAAACTGCTTTGCTAAATGGCAATTCCTTTGTCTAATTATCTAATTTTTTAAAAATATGTATTTTAATATCTTCTCTTTTTTCTTTTCAGGATGCATTAAATGTATGTCCACCCATGACAGCTTCTAATACCCAGGATCGTATTGATTCCTCTGGTCAGTGGACACTAAAGTCTGTTTTTCCTTTGACAGTTTGAAAAATCATTCAGCTAGACCAACCTTATGTAAAAGAAGACACTTTCCATTAGAAAAATAGCATATCTGTTAGTCCCCTGTGAGATAGTATATTCAGAGGGAAAAATGATGTATTTAAATTTGCCACATTAGCTTTTGATCTTAAAGTCAAGCAAAGTATAATATAGCAATTAAAAGGGCAAATTCTGAAACCAAAATGCTAGGGTTAGATCACTAACTCTGCCATTTACTACTAAGAAATCCTTGGCCAAAACCTAACCACTCTTTGCAAAAGAGGTTTTACCAAAGAACCTGCTTCAGAATATTGCTATGAGGAATAAATATATACACCTAATTTATATATATATATATATATATGCTATAGATACATGTTAGTTATAATATATATGTGTGTGATTCTGAATGCATTAGAATAGTACCTAGCATAGACTACAGGCTATTGCAGTGACTATATTACAAGGTGTTCGAAGGAAAGTAAACACAGTCTATGTGCTCTTCTACTAATACATTGAAGAATTTTTCTTAAGTTCACATATACTATTGGACCATCAGTATCTTGTAACCTTCCTAGCTTAACAGTCTGATGCACACCAAAGAATACTGAAAAAAAAAAATACCCATCCATGATTAAGCCAAGCAGAATGACTGTATAATTCTGGAGAGACAGATTTTGCAGTGCTGATTCCTTCGTATACAAAGCCCGATCCCTTCCACTCAGAGTTTAGATTGGCTGAGTATTTAGATTGGCTGAGTATTCCTGAGAGACAGCTCCGCACCCAGGGCCCCAGTGAACGCGGACATGGAGCCCCCCGGGTGGGGACCATGCACCCTCCTGGCTGGGAAAGCTCTATGCAAAGCCCAGAGACCCAGCTCCTCTCTGTAACTTCTACAACTTCAACCAAGATTATACACACAAGACAAGGCCATGTCTGAGGGCTGGCTGAATCTGTTGCTTTTTTAAAAAAAATCTTCCAACTTGGAGATTCTTAATATTATTACTGAGGCTGCTTATCTATCTTTCCAGAACCTTCTCTGTGGCATAGGGTGGTGGGTTGTAGGCATGTAGAGACTGCGATGTGTGAGGATGCAACAGTGACACGGGCAACCCTCCCGCTGGAATGAGAACTCCTGTCTTTGCAGAAATCTACACCAACACCTATGCAGGAGGAGGCACGGTGGAAGGGGGTGTGTCGGGAGTGGAGCTCAACACAGCAGTGGGAGCAGCCGCAGGCCTGGTGGCAGGAGGCGCTGCCTCGGGAACCTTGAGGAAGAGGAGTTCCACCATAGGCACACTGCGGGAATACCAAGACACAGCTGGCTTGAACATGGCCTTCCTGGACAGCTACTTCTCAGAGGTGAGTCACTTGCACAAAATCTTCACGAACTCCTGCAAAATTGTGCCAATGTTCCCTTCAACTTTAAACATCAACACCATCACCACCACCACCACCAACAACAACAACTTGTGATCCAATCCAGGCAATGATCCTGTTACCAAAAGGCTATTTTTTAAATTCTTTTATTGTTATTATAAACGTGATGTAGAGAGGGGTTACGGTTACGTAAGTCCATTACCAAAATACTAAGTAGCAGAGATAGTTTTGTCTTAATTTCAAGATGCCAACCCATTCGTCTCTAATAATAGAACTGAGTGTCTGGTACAAAGCCAGGGAGAAAATATCAGGTGACAGTGTAAAGGGATGATTGGTTTTAAGATTTTAGTCCATAACTGTTTGAGTCTGGACAAGAAGTTCACTTTTCATTCTCTCCTGATCTTTCATTATTTTAATGGAAAAAGGAAGTGATTTCAAATGGAGTTCTGCATATTCCACAGGCCAGCCATGGCTGTCTATAATCTCAGCAACTTGGGACACAGGATTATAGTTTGGGACCAGTGCAGGAAAAACAACAAAACATAATCCAGCGAACAAAAAATGTCAACTAAATCTTTCCTTAGAAGGTGATCCAAGTATACAGCGATGCATTAGTGTCATCCTAGCTATTTGCCAGAGCATCGGCAGGGGACTGTAGAAGTCCAGGGGTGGCCTAGGTAAAAGCATGAAATTCTATCTGGAACAGAAACACAAATTTACCATAAAGGGCGGGGGGCATTGAAATTAGTAGAGTGCTTGTTTAGAAAGTATGAGGTTCAGGGTTCAAAACCTCAGTACTCTCAAGAAGAACAACAAGAAGATGAAAGGATTCAGTGGAACTTTTCAAGGGCCAAAGCAGATGAGGGGAAATGGAAGAGTAACTAGCAGGTCTCTGCTCTCATTCTTCCCTTTTCAAGCAGAGATTCTACTTTCATCTGTTCTCTTCTACATATTGAGCTCCTACCTAAGACTATACTTTAAAAGCTTTGATTTAAAGTTTGGAGCATCATAGAAAATAACCCCTCCTAGTGCCTTTCTTTGGCTAACCCTCACCCCAGAGAGCATCTAGCTCTTTTAACTTACAACAGGAAAAAACTTCATGAACATTCTGACAATGCTCTCTGAAGTTTAAAATGCTTTCGTTCCAAATTGATCACATGAGTCTTAAATAAGTATTTTGAACATAACTGAACACCTTCAACTTTTTTCTAGACTACCTCAGAATCCAAGAAACATATATCCCAAATATTTAAATACCTCCATTGATTCAAATACTTAATGAAAAAAAATATTAGCTTTCAAATAAGAGAATTTCACATTCATTCTTCATATTTTGGGCTTCATGAATACATACCAATCTCCTAACAATATCTATTATTTTAGTAATACACTCACCCAAACACAAATTCTTCTTCCATTTTTTTTACATAAAATACTCTCAGATCAACTTGCTCTGAAGCTTTGCTGTTATTCATCATTGGTCGCTTTAAAGAAAGAATTTTGTAATTTTCCATTCTTCTTCTAATTTTAGAAAGCATATGCATATGCAGATGAAGATGAAGGCCGACCAGCCAATGACTGCTTGCTCATTTATGACCATGAAGGAGTAGGGTCTCCTGTGGGCTCTATTGGTTGCTGCAGTTGGATCGTAGACGACTTAGATGAAAGCTACATGGAAACTTTAGATCCAAAATTTAGGACTCTTGCTGAGATCTGCTTAGACACAGAAATTGAGCCATTTCCTTCACAGCAGGCCTGCATACCTATTAGTACTGATCTTCCTTTGCTGGGACCTAATTACTTTGTCAATGAGTCTTCAGGAATGACTCTCTCCGAGGCTGAATTCCAAGCAGAAATAGCAACGTGTGAACCTGTGATTCATGGGGATATCATAGTGACTGAGACTTACACAACCACTGAACCATGTGTACAACCTACTACAATTGTATTTGATCCTCAGCTTCCCACCAATGTTGTTGTAACTGAAACAGTAATGGCACCCGTCTATGATGTTCAAGGTAATATTTGTGTGCCTGCTGAGATAGCCAATACCCACAATGTATACTATGCTGAGAGAGTGATGTCTAGCCCTGGTCTGCCTGACATGAGCAATACTAGCATGACTGATAGTTGTATGGGTCCTGTGATGAGTGGTGGTATTTTAGTAGGACCAGAAATTCAAGTGACACAAGTGTGTCCAGACATTCACATAAGCCAAACCATTGGCTCTACATCCCCAATAACATCTCGACACAGAGTAACGCGATACAGTAACATACATTATTCCCCACAGTAAGAGCTTCATGCTCTTCTTATGCTCAGTATTCTAGATGGAGACCTTTGTAATTGCCAGTATAACCATCAAAGATATATGATGTGCTATATTTAACAATCAACAAATATTCAAATATTCTAAGTTCAATGGCATCCTTTGATTCTAGTTTTTGCAGGATAAATATGGCTGAGCACTTTAGGTAAGCCCTGTGTAGTTCTTTCTGATTTTAAATAATGTGCCAGAAAACTTGAAGATAATGTTGTACATCCTTTAATACAGCTTCTAGCCCATAATTCCTTTTGCAAGTCCTACAGGTCTTGAGCTCTGAAAAAAACCAGTCAGGTAAACCAAGACACTCTTATTCTTGGAAATTGCAAATGTTTTTTATACATTCTTCAGCCATGATTTTCTTTAGAGTCATATTTCTATTAAAAATTTCCATAGAAAAGATGAGTGTTATGTACATTCCTGGAAGTAAATGGAAAAGGAATATGAAGCATACATCAATTGATAAGTCATATTTCTCATCAAACCATTTCACAAGACTAACAATATTAAGAGCATGCTGAATACATGAAAATTTATTTGTAATATTAACAGTTACATAATTTAGAATTGGAAAAGTATGATGTCTATAGAAGAAACAAAACAGTAGAAGTAGTAATGGTTTCCTGTTCACAGGAATTTTTCTACCAGTTTAGCTAATTATGTCAATAAAAAATCAAACGTTGGTTAATCATTTCATTGATCCAAATCATGAAACTTTCAGACGATAACCAGATATTCTCCAAAAGCACATATGTAATTTTATTTTCATCAGTAGTTAGTTAGAAGCTACTAGGTTTTGACTGTTGGTCTTGGCTCTGTGAATGTAGAAAACAGACCCAACTCTTACCTTCACTAAGCTCCTAATTCAATTTTAGACCTAAAATAAAATTCTGTGATAGGGCTTTGAATTCCTACAAAGAATGATTAACTAATTACCGAACTCCATTATCAAGTTGCATTTCTCTTCTTAACACTACTATCTATATTGAATGAGTGAAATGGAAACACACAGGGAGACTGATTTTGTATGCTTAAGAAAATATTCTGGCAAGGTGGTATTACATACTTCTGTAATATGAGAACTATATGGTAGTAACTATGACTGGAAAGATAGTATAAATGAAACTTACTTTCAGGGTTTATTCCTTTTGGAGGAAAAATCTTATCCAATTCTTCATTTTCATGTGTCTACAACCAACTAGTTTAAGCATAAAATCTTGAATCTATTGCTTGACATCTTGGCCAGTGTTCTAATATGGTAACTTTATCTGAATGGAGTTACCCTAATTTTGTCTCTTTTATTGACTTTGATATTTTTCAGTTGAAATAAAAAGTTTCCTGGTTCTATGAAGTTTAGGTGCAGAATGGTTAAAATATTGTAGATTTTGCAATGCTTCCCAAATTGCATGCACCAGCAACTGTTACTTTAATTTAATTGAATAAAATTATTCATATGTGAAAAAAATTATTCATATGTGAAAAAATTCTACATTCCACTATTCTATAATTTGGTAAGATCCATGGGCTAACCAAGCACCCTTGGTTCCAGGATCATTCTGACACTCACTCAACAACCACCTGGCATACAATACATTCAATTATGTGGCCCATCCTGATATGGAAATTTCTCTCTTTAAATCTGTATTCACAACACCAATAATTCTAAGAATTATAAAAAGTGACTGGCAAGTACTTATATGCAAAGTACAAGTGAGCTAAAACCTGAAAATTATGAGATCTGAAAACATGAAGAATAAACTAGAACTAAGCATTTGACTAAAGATGAAAGTATGTAATGGAGATATACAACCACTTGTGAGAAGGGTAAGAAAATTTTTCTGCACACATGCTTTTTTCTATCTGTTTCTCATTATGCAAAGACTTAAAAGTGCTTCCAAAAGAGCACACTCATTTCTACAGGACACTTTTCTCCACCATGTCAGCAGAAACAGATCAAAACCATCTCGTTTGTACTCAGAACATGAGTAGCGAGGGAGAACTCTCCCATCATGCCGGATGGTGATGCAACTCAAGCTTTTGAAATTGGTGTCTCTGTGAATGTCATCCCCAAAAAACCGAAAAGGATAACCTAAAAATCTCCCCTTAATCCATAAGAATTAAGATTCTGGAATTAAAGTTGGTATAGTACTTGTGCTCAGGCATGAAAATGAGTCTGAAAGGCCAGAAGGTGAAATGTAATCAATAATTATTATTCAATATTATTTGAGTCGATATTGTCTGATGTACAGAATTACTTGAGGATAAAGCATTATTCAATCAATAAATATATGGGCTCTCTTGGTGAAGTCTTAGGTGAAGGGAAAGAAGATATTTAGAATATGAGGATATTTAAAAACATTTTTTAACAGAATTCTGCTTTTAGATTAGCTGTTTCTGAATGAAATGTACTAGTAAATGTAATAATGTTTTATATACTTCTTCAATTAAATCATGTTAAGAGAAAATAATGTTTCACTTTTTCTTAATATACATAGTATTCCATACATAACATGGACATATATCTGGAAAGTATGTTCCCATTTTGGTCCTGGGTAGTCATTGTCTTTAGTATTATATACACTGTACAGAAGGTTGGATTCATTGTTAATTCAAACTCAGAAAAAAAATGTGTAGTGATTTTTCTGTAAAATCATTGTTTTACATTTGGTTATTATTTCATTTTATTTCTTATTATTTCATAATCTTCATCATGAAATACAAATCAATTTTAATAAGCATCAGAAAATGTTCTAGAATTGTAGAGAATTAAATACCATTTCTTACCATCTCTCTTAAATGCAACACAATTATAACTATAATTTCTATACTAGAGATACCACATTCTGTGGCAATTACCATTAATTACCATTAATTTCACTTAGGGGGTTTGAGGAAGAATCTTTGAAAAAGAAAGTGAAATCTGGAAGAAGCCAAGTAGAATTTTGTCTAACAAAATTTGGCTTTTTTACTTTTTTATAAAAGCCCAAATGACAGGATATATTCAAGTAAAACAAATACAAGTTTGAATCAAAACAAGAATTATAAAATTGTACAGTCATTTACTTTTTAATTTCAGTTTCTGTACCAATTACTCAAAATTCATGATCCTTTATGAACTCTCAAAACAATATCATGAAAAGAAAAACAATAAAATCACAAGGAATTTGATCCAAATGATAAAGAAAACACTAGATGGATGATTTGTACCCATGTCAGGGATGAACACATTAAAACTAATAGAAATTGATGCTTCATATTAGCGCTTAAGTTAGTAGCAGAGTTAAAATCAAAGCCAGATTACCTCAGCCCAAAAACTTTATTTTTACCCACCCAAGTCTATTGATTTAATTCCAGAAGGATATTTGAAATGCACATGGCAGAAGATTTATGTCTCAATAGGAGTATAGATTTAACTTTCAGAAAATGGAGAGCCAGTAGCAATTTCTGCACTATTCAAAGGTCAGGTCCTACTTTAAAAGAGGACCTTGGGGCAGCCCAACCACAGCACAAAAACACCCTGGTGACCAATCACTAAGGCAGAGGGCCTGGCTTTTATTTCTGTGGTGGTAAAGATCTGAGAATTGAGCTGACAAACCTAGGAGAGCATCCCACCATTAGGGCCATGCTGTATAAAATGAGGAAAATTAATCATTTTTTGTGTTAATCAGTATTTGCACATTGCAAAATTCAAAGCATGACTTGCCTTTGTTATTACTTTACGTGAAATAAATGTTGAGCTGGGCACAGGCTTTTCAGACCTCTCTCAGTCTGCACCACACTGGTTCCTTCACCTGATACTGCACTCTCCTCACCTTCTTAGCTTTCTTCTACCACTTTCAGGACTCACCTGAGGTATTGCTACTTCTCAGGAGCATGTATTTCTCCCACTGCCCCAATCTTCTTCCTCAGCAATAGTGAACTCATTCTTTTTCCTATGCCCACCAGCTTTAGAGCTCCTTGAGAGCAAAAGTAATCTTTTCTTCCTTTCATCCTGTGTTAACAGAATATAATCCAATTCTCCAGAGCGCCAAAAAAAGAACGTGTCTGCAGTTCAGCAGTGTTGCCTCTAGATAGCAGCCTTTGGAGGAAGTGATCATCTAAAAGCTTTTATAAAGGCCGCATGTAGCAAGATGTTTGAATGTAGCTTACAATGAACAATACACTTCAGGAGAAATAGATCTTTTGCAAAAGAAAAAAACTGCTAAAATTAAGTTATAGGAAATAAATTCTTATGCTTTTTAAAAGAATGTACAGTGTGATAAATGACTTGCAAAAAAAAAAAAATACTACCAAGAATGAATCTGGGAAATAAAGCCACTCCTTGAAACCCTTAAGAACAGATAATGAAGCAAATGGGGGCAAGCCAAAATGAATATCCAAAACAGACAGGTCTAGAACAGTAGTAGCAGATTTTCTTTCACTAGAGTTAGTCAAAACAGAGGGATGTGATATGAATTTGGCGCTAAGATTTTGAATTTTTTCTATCATGATTTTCTCACATTACTATGAACAGGATTTTGTAAAATATTTATAATTGTTTCAAAAATCTGTATAAATTCATATATTTGTACCACATTATTCCACAATTCCTGGTCAAGTCCATATTTTAATAAAAAATGTTACATGAACATTTACATATTATATATATGTATATTTCCTACTCACACAGAAGTTGAAGTGTTTCTATAAGAGAAGCACTTAAAAGAAGATATCACATCAACTGATATGTGCAAGTAATTTATAGTGTTTTCTAAATTTCCCTCTAAGTAAGAATGTCAACCTAAACTACCATCAACTTTTATAAGACTGGCTTAACCAGAAATTTAATAATTAAGGTTATCCATTTTTTTCATGTTTAATAACATGGTAAAGCCTACAATTATTTGGTGCTTTCCAGCCATTATACAGAATTTGACACCTAGTACATATAGGTTATCTAAATGAAATGATGAATGATTAAATAACTTTGATAA